TATTAGGAAACTTTGCCTCACTCTTTTAAAGAACTTTTTCCATAACAGTATGTATTAGTCAGAGCTTGTGTGTGTGCTTGTGTGAACTCTTTTTCTAGTACCATTTGCTCAATAGAAGTAAAGTGATTCAGATGTTAATGAATGTAATTTAGTCTAAATGCATATGTGGAAGGGCAAAGCTGTGCGAAAGATCTCAAGAGAGGCACTCTCTGTAGAGCAGGAAGAGTTGTGCCTGGTCTTTAAAACCGACTGCTATGAACAGAGCTGTGAACACAAAAACTGAGCGGAGTTCTATTATACCTTATCCGTCTAGAAATGTTCTTCAGACCTGGTTCTTCATATTATTTTCATACATTTTCCTTGTCATCACCACTCTGACTACCTGTGCCTCTGCCTCTCTTTCAGCCTGTCTGTGCCTGCCTTGAACATACCACAAGTTCCATCCCTCTTCTCCTTCCAACAACTTTCCCCCTTTCTCTCTCTCTACTCCTCTAAGTTTCCTCCTGTAAATGTTTTTTCTGCTGCTTCCTCTCTTTGCAACACGTCTCCTTTTCAATTTATTTATTTTCAAATATAAAGAGTGGTGTTAAAGGAGTAAATCCAAATTAGAATATTACTAACTAGTGTTAAAGCTGACTCTGTGACCAAACAAACGCTTACTTGCAGACCCAATAAGCCACACTTTGATGTTTATACAAACATATAAAGACAAGCTTGGACAGGTATATTTCTGTGTATGTAAGATTATGAACAGGGCATGCTGTCCCAAGAGACTAATTCAATATTGATGTATTTATTAATCATCCCATCAACAATCATCTTTGATGTTGCTTGTTGTATCTCATGTTTCAGGTTCGAAACTGAAAATAGATACTATAGATACTTGCAAACTCATTCCCAGCATTACTGAGGTCTCTAAAATGAGCTGCAGTTTTTGCGGCAAAACTATGAATACAACAATGCATCCTTAGATGTTTGATAAAAATGTGACTTGTGGAAGAGGTAAAAAGACAGCTGATTTCAAATTTGAGTTACTTGGAGTTACTCGAAATGATATTCAGTAAAGAGCACAATCTTGATGTGTTGTTTGATGTATTAGGCATTTACAAAATTGATGTTCACAGAAATAATCAAATAAGATGTTTATCATGTCCACATTCTTTTAAATGAATGAATCATTTTCATGACTCGCCAATCAGCAAATAGTACACTGAACCCCGTTTGAGCGGGTCCTAACATGGCCAACAGGTCAATCCAGACTTTTTTTATCTGCAGTTCCATGCTGGTAGAACGACCTTACAACCACTATCAGAACATCAGATTGTCTTTCCTCTTTCAAGAAACCATTGAACACCCAGCTCTTTGAAGAGTATCTCTTGTCCTGAAATCTCTAAATGCACTTACTTTTGTGAGTCTTCTAAATACATAAATGTAAATGTACTTGTGGATTACCTGTCATTACCGTATGCTCAGCAGGTGAAAAACAAGGATTTTTTTTTGTTTAGGTGAAGCCAGTACTATCCTTTTGACGACAGTTAAGATTGTTTAATATACAGTTTTTAACATGGTTGCCTATACATTCCAAGTTAATGGATCTGAACATAGATTTGACTGGTAGTGTATGTCATGGTTATCATATCTATTGTGTGGTTGTTTGTAAAAGATATTAAGGCTTGATCTTTGAGGCTCAAAATTTGAAATGCCCTCTGGTGGTTCACAGTTTTAAACCACAGATTCCACACGTGCACTGTTTCCTATGAAGCAGAGCAGCAGATTGGGCCATTTTTTCACAACAGAACAGGAAATTACTTGAGAGAAGTCAATCAACACCACATTAGATTCATGTGATTTTATAATGCAGCAATGACACAAACACACTCATGGTGCTGTCTTCACTCAGAAGTTCAGTTGCATGGTTTTCTGTAATTAAATAAAGTTCTTTGACAGGAAGACACAGAAAAATGTTGTTTTTTGTTACTGCATAACTTCAAGTCATTATAAAAGTTACTGAGGCTTATTTAACTATGGAATAGGTGGCACAGACATGTCTTTTATCTGATATACAGTACTGCTAGAAACTGCATGTGTGGATGGATTTGTCAAGCTTTATTATAGATATCAAATATAACTAAACATACAGTATAATTTACTTTAAAAAAAAACAATTTATTTGATTGTGTCTTTCAGTTTGACTCGGTTTGATTAGTTTGAAAATCTTGTTCAATCACAATAGATCATAAACATCAGTTTAAACCAGGCATGCTTGATCTGTGGAAGAGTCATAGCACCTCCTGTTGACCATATTGGAGGTTGCTGAACTGCTACCCTGACATTTCGATCTGTTCTCTCTCCAAAGTCACTTAAACAACAGCAGAACAGAGGGGCATGCTGTACACACAGAGCTCTGAGGAGTGCCCCTCACAAATGAGTACTTATGAGCCTTTTGAAAGGGTAGGATTCTGTCCAGTTGCTTTGATGGTCTTGCATCTTTAAGCCAGTCCTATTGGAATTACCCAAGAACGAGGCAGGCCAAGGTGTTCCAACAGCCAATCCCCTAGGTGTGATACATTTACAGTGCCCTCCACAATTATTATGATGTGGTTGAGGACTTCTAAAAATTCTCCTTTTTTTAAAAATAACATAGAACCCAAATGAATTTTTTATTTTATTTAAGTACATTACTTGGGTGGTAAAATAAAATCACACATTTAGAAAATAAAAAAAATGAAATCATGTGTCCTGCACCTGCAAAGGCTGCACCTTTTTATCTAAATTATTTTTTGTCTAAACAATTAAAAAGAAAGATAAAAGGATAATGAATTGTGATAAATTGTACTGATTATTTTCTAACTGTTCTCAGTCTGTCTCATCTTAACTAAAGTAACCTGTTCTTCAATAGCCTGCTAAAGTAGCCTGCCCAATAATAAATTGAATTGAATATACTTTATTGAATATACTTTATTGATCTCCAGGGAGAAATTGACTAAATGGGGATAGAGCACCCTGGTAGACATCTATCTTTAATTCTGAGTGGATTAGTAAAAGCCTGTGTTCTTGTATGTTGAGATGAAAACACATTGGTGCCAAAATATTAAATGTTTGCGCAAAAAAAGGCTTTAAAAGACATCGGTTTGCTCTAGCTCCATTTTTTATATCTCCAAAATGATCAGTCATCCACCTGGATTTCGCAGAGAGCTCTGTGTTTACCTACTTTTTATAATGTTTTCATTCCACAAAAACGTTCAAATTTTACGAAATAGATATGTAATCATACCTTTTACTAAAAAATGTTATTAAAAGAACACTCAAACAATATCTGAGGGAGTTGAAGACACCCTGTCACAAGGCAAGTGTAAATTGTCCAGTCACAAATATACGTATATGGTATTTAGACTTTTGGTTAATTAGATATATTGAATTTATTTTAAGTATTTTTTAATTGGCTTTTAATTTCCGTCTGTCTTTCTCTCTGAGGTCACTTGGAGAACAGCAGTTTTGTCTTTAACTGTATCAAAAGTATGTCTGTTGTGCCAAAAGATTGTTACAAAACTTAATTGAACTCAAATAGTCCTATCTGTGTGCACCTGAGTGTATGCTGCCATTTTGACTTTTTCCAAAGGCGAAACCTGACACTCTCTCTAACTGGAACTCAAGTAAAGATACTTAATCAAACTAGTTCAGCCCTGAAGTAGATTAACTTAACTACACACCATCTCTGCTTTCAGGTCTTTTGTAACAGAAAAAGTTGTTTCTCTCATTGCAGTCTTTGATCCCAAAGGATTTGTTGCTGCTCTTCTCCAGGACGCCACACCTAAAAGTCGGACAGCTTGGAATGTTCTGGTACTGCAACTGTTCTCCACCCACCCAGAACCACTCATCACCCAGGAAACGCAGGCCTGTCCACACCTACCGACATTCAGCAGAGAGATTCATATTAACACAGAGGAAGAGCTGCACAAATACCCACATGGTGTAGAAAATCACCCGCCTCATCAGTGGTAGCCTGTTGTGCTTTCTCTCGTGCGTAGTCATGGTCATCAGCAGTGATCAGGGTGGCCAGGTCGTAGATGTTTTTCCTAAACAGAGAGGTTGAGTTGATAGGCTCCAGTTCCCCCCGCGACCCCATCAGGGAATAAGCGGTATTGATAATGAATGGATGGATGAATGGAGAGGTTGGGTTCTCTTGGTCCCTTTCTTTCAGAGACCTGCAGTGTTCTAAGGCTTCTTCCCATGTCTTGTTCTCCTTCACCAGATCCAGTTTCTCATCAGAACAAATTAGCTCATGTCTCCTGCGGCAGGGCTCATTAAACATTTTTGATTTTTTATCCATGTAAACACAGTCTTCTTTGTCAAGGTAATTTGGTTCTGCAAGAAAAGATAAGGGTACAGATGTTACTGCTGACTCTAAGGTTGTCCTTAATAACCCCAATTTTTTAAGTAAACATGCATGAAAAGTTTTATTCTGGATTTAGAGTAAGCAGCGCTATTTTTGCCTGGTTTTGTCCAGGAAACACAATTACCACAATTACTAGGTGCAATTTTGGAGTGTTCAATTAACATCACACAACTTCAATTAGGAGTACTCGAGTGGAACGTGTGCAGACAAAGTGAGAACATGCAGAAATACCACTTATCCATCAGGGATTCGAACTTTGAACCATCTTGGTCTGAGGCATTGAAAACCCCACCACAAATCAAGACATTTTAAAAGAAAATGTAATACTGGACAAATAATCATTCAGTCTCGCCTGCACCCAAACGCCCTGAGAATTGTGGTCGCTAGATCATACAGCTTCTAAATCTGGAACACTCTACTCTGTGGAACATTCACCTCTCTTTTGCTATACAAAACCATCCACTGAACTGAGACTAATTCGACTATTTTTGATCAGTCACTTTGCCAATAAACTGTTTTATTACCTCCCTTTGAGCCAATTACATTAATTTACACTGTTGATGATTTGCATCTTCATCTAATCCTGAGGAAATGTATCCATTACAGAAGTCACAGACATATAAAAGTTTCGATTTTCTAATTGGTGTTAAAATCTGACAAAATACCTGATTAAAGAAAAAGAGCTAAAAGCTTGGTAATTTTTGGGGTGTTAGGGTCAGAACAGAATCAGTATAAAAAGCTTACCAGTAGCTGACCAGTTGGTGTAGTTTGATGTTTTGTTTCCTTCTGACCATTTCCAGGTACCATTCTCATTTTCTTTATATAATCCGATCCAGCCCGACAAACCAAGGAAGACTTTGTCACTTGTGACTGTGGCCAGATCAATGTGTTTGTCCCTGCAGAATTTCTGTGCTTCCTTCCAGGTCATTTCTTTTGTATATTGTTTGAGGTTAAAAAGTGTGAAGCCAGACTGCTTTCCACAGACAGGGGAAACGACAAGCAGCAGGGAGACAATGACGCAGATGCTCATCTTCTTCACCGAGGGATGTCTTTGTACCTAGTTATAATAAATATGCTGATTATCATTTTATATTTTTCTTAAAAGAAAAATATGCAACAATTCTACAACAGAATTAATGACAATTTCAAATTCAGCACAGGCTCAGAAAAGACAGGGGAGGGTTAGTTGTTTGCAGCAATTTTCAGAGATTTTACTCTGATCTTTTATAATAAATAAAAACTCATGTCCATAGAAAGTCATCCTCCTTGAAAGATATCAGCAAACTGTGACCAATAATCTTGTCCAGTCTGCAACATCAACACAAAGTCAACATAAAATGATTACATAACAGCATAAGAGTTAAGAAGAACGACACCTAGATGGATACCAAAACTCAAACTTTCATTCATTGCATGTACTAGAAATTCTTATCTTTTAAGACATTTTTGGTCCCTTTTAATTCTATTCTTAATGCTTTTGACTATATTTTGTGGCTTCATGAAGTTGATATGTTTTCTATTTTCAAGACTAATGTATTTTGTGCTAAAGCTCCTTCCACTGAGACCTTTTAAGCTTAATAGACCAGACCTGAAAACAGCAATACCTCACCTTGGGCCACAGCAGCAGGAAGACAGCTTTGATGGTCTGCTTCAGGTAATGATGTTTCTGTGTCAGAGAACTTAGTAAAAAGGCTCCACTGACCAATCACAAATCTGGCCAGATATACAAAGTAACCTGCCACATCTCTTAGCTACCACCCCGCCCCCACCGTACTTCCTGCTTCTAAATTCTCCTTTGCATCTTGTTTAAATCCTTTCAGATTATGGTTTTGAATACATAACTAATATGTTCCTAAAGCAATCTGGTCTATTTCATATAATTCATTTTAATAGTTAAACAACTGTTTTTGTCTTTTAATTTGATACTGTTATACTGCAGTCGTGGTACATTTTTCCATGCCATCCCACACAATCCATTTCAGGATCATGGAGTGTTGATCCAAAATATAAAGCAGTATGGGTGTTTTTGTTTGTTGGTTTTCATACAAGGTCTAACTGCTATGACAGCCACATTTCTTGTAAACCTTCTTTGAATGTTACAAAAGCCAACACCATTGAAATCGTTCGATGCCTCAGTGACTGATGGCCCAAAACCACGTCCACCTTCACTTTTGCGACTTTTTTTTTTCATAGAAAAACAAAAACGCCAGGGTTCTATACAAGCAAACTTTTTTTCTGTACAGCCACATACTAATATCATAACAGAATCAAACGTGAAATAATTGTTCTAGCGTACCACATCCTTCTCCACTAAAATAATAAAATGTTAGCAAATTATTTTACTTTAGGTGGACTGTACTAACATTTGTTGAACATTAAATACTCATCAGTTTACAGTGATGTCACAACAAATACATCAATAACTACACTCCTGGTGATTACATCAGCATGACTACAGGATAGATAGCCACTGTTTCTTTTCCTTCTTAGTTGTGTTGATTGAACTCTGTTGTAGGGCTGAGAGCCAGGAGGCTTACCTCAGGGACACAGTCGCACGTACGTCCAGCTAATGACACTTCAATTCAGCACACCTGTGGCCAGTTACCTGGGGACTGAACCTAAGGACACTTGGATCTTGAGTCAGTGCTCTGATGTTCAACCCATGTGGTAACCTTGAGCCAAGGTCCTATGACTAGTTTATAGGTAGCTTAAGCTTGTCCTGGCTTACAGGCTTAAACTGTACTACTTTAACTTTAACTCCACTACATATTTTTTAATGAATGATTTGATTGATTGATTCCCATACTATTATTCCGCAATAATTTGCCATTTGGATAATGGCTAATTTGGGCATTTTGTGATGCAAGTAGGTCGATTTATGACAGTTTCTCCTACTTTTTTGAGGCAATCACCTCAGTGATGGCCTTGTCTGCATCTCAAGTTAGGCCTGTTGCTACGTGCTCTGCAGGTGGGAATTGAGGAACGCTTTGGTCCGATGATGAAAAGTCTGGTATCTGCTGCTATTCTGCTTCCAAAGTTCCAGACTAATTGGAAGTTGGAATATGAAACAATCAAACTAGGTCAGAAAGGGAGCACGCTCAATAAACATTTGCTTATTGATCATACACCAAGTGCACCAAACATGCATATAAGTGGTGCATGTCCTTTCTTGCCCTGTATAAAGTAATAATTTCCATCATTTCGTACTGACAATGTTTTCACCATTTTTTATAATGTACTGTTATATTTTAGGAATGGATAATATCAAACAACACATAGAAGACGTCTCGTTGGAGTCTGTTGAGGTCAACAAGTCAAGCTCATCTGATGAGGAAGACTTTTTTTCTGGCATGAGGGGTTCAAAGGTTCAAACAGTCCTGCTAACCTGTCCTGTTCTGCGGACAACATGGACTTGCTCAAGTCTTTTCTTGCTGTGTGTATGCTGTCTTTTAAGCTAAACACACCCCTTCCAGCATCAGCCGCCTGTGAGAGGCTGTTTATTATCGCAGGATTAGTCTTTAGCCCAAGAAGAGCAAGACTAAATGACTCCAATTTTGAAAATCAACTGCTTTTGAGACTAAACAACAGATCTCTAACTCCCTAACTGACTGCTTTATGATGTGGGAAGGAAATAAACTGTAGAAAAAGCACAAGCATGGAAGAAAAGGGAGGGATACTATGGGGGAATCTGTTTACAAAGTCATTGTGCGTTGTAAGGTGCCCGAATCACTTTGGTTCTTGTGTGAGCATTACATGTATGTGACCTACTGGGAGAATTCCAAATAGCTGGTTAAGAGACTAACCTGATTAATTTGACCTGGAGGCAGTGGTTAACCTGTTGATGGAAGAGCTTGATGCTTCATGTTGATGCTTCTGGGCTGTTCCATCATAAGGTTTACCACCAGGCTTAACTCTTTCCAGGTTTTTCTTTTTGCTTCTCTACAGACTGCGCTTCTGGCCTTTTGAGATGTTTTATTTGTGTTTTGTTTTCTGTTTTTTGTAAACACCTGTGTGGCCTTTTATAATTGTACTGCTGCTTCAGCCAGGTAGTGTGCCTTTCACACGGTTTAAATAATATAAACAATATCTGTCAAACTTTTGACTGCCTTTTTTGGATATACACAGTACTTGTACTTTTACTGATACTTGTGCTTTCGATACTTGAGTAGCAATTTTCTAAATACTACTTGCAATACTTAAGAACAAAAAATATTATGGTGTTGAAAAAATTAAATTAAATTAAATTAAATTTTATTTATACAGCGCCACATAACAACAACAGTTATACCACAGCACTTTCCAAAAATAGCTTGTCAGACCCTACTCTGAAGTTATTTACAGAAGCCCAACAATTCCCACCAAGAGCTAGCGCTAGGCGACACAGGCAAGGAAAAACTTCCTTTTAGGAGGCAGAAACCTCGAGCAGAACCATGCGTCAGGGTGGGCGGCCATCTGCCTCGGCCGGTTCAGGGTAATAGAATGAGAGTGCAAGAGAGAAAGAGCGAGAGAAGGAAGGAGGGAGCAGCGAGAGGCAGCCTACACAGAAACTGGATGAACAATGGCAATGATATTGATACTAATGATAATGATAGCAGTAATGATAGCAATAAGACTATGAACAGTGGCTGTAAGGTAAAGCTTTACATTACAGCACGGTAATAATATGGTAATAGCATAGTAATAGTTTGTAACAAATAGTTAATAACCAGGTAATTGTGTGTAACTACAATGGAATTTCTATGAAATTACCATTGTAATACTTTGATAAGAACAATAACAAAGAAATAATTACAAAGTAATTTCTATTATTACTATTTCTAAATCACTATTGTATTATATGATGATATCGACAGGATTATGAAATAGTAGATTATTTGTGTGTAAATACTAAGGAATTACCATGAAATGACCTTTTCTTGACATAAGGTAATGAAGTAGTAAATGTGTGTAACTACTAAGTATTTTCTGTAAAATTACCTTTGTATGAATATGTGACAAGGTATTTAAATAGTACTTTTGTGTATAGTTATAATTACCATGAAGTTACCCTTGTGTTAGTAGTTATAGAACAATATTTGCATATAAGTACAGAGTAATTTCCATAAAATTACCTTTGATGATATATATATATATATATAGCTTGTGTGTAATTACTATGAAATTACCCTGACTAAGGTAATGAAGTAGTAATTTTTTTTAACTACCAAGTAACTGCTATAAAATTACCTTTTTATGGTAAAACGTGACAAGGTAAAAACGTAGTAGATGTTTTGTGTGTATTTAGTTACCAAGAAATTACTTTTGTGTTGATAATTACTGTGCAATTTCCATTAAAATTACCTTTGAATTGTGGCGAAATGATGAAGCAGTAGCCTGTGTGTAATTACTATGAAACTACCCTGACAATATCATAAGGTAATGAAATAGTAATTGTGTGTAACTACCAAGTAACTACTATAAAATTACCTTTGTAGAATAAAATGTGACAAGGTAATGAAGTAGTACACGTGAAAATGACATGAAATTACCTTTTAATTGTGGCGTGATATTGATATAGTGGCCTGTGTGTAAGTACTACACAATTAGTAGGAAATTACCAATGTTTGTATTTACAGTAATTACCAAGTTATTTCTATAAAATACCCTTGTAATATGTTTAATAGTTGTAGTAGCCGTTTGTCAAACAAACTTTTAACAAAAATTAAATTAAACTTAAAATAAAACAAACGACAACTTCTGGCACCCTGGGCAGGTATTGTACGCAGGCAAGAAAAATGATTTAAGTTCCACGCAGAATTGTCCTTGAGGCTGGTTTATTGGTGTTTCAGGTAAACAAATAAATATCTTGCGCTTGTAAAAAACCATGTGCCCACTACCTAGGTGTATACAGGTGTATTGCCACTTCCTACCTATATCCACACTTATCTGTGCGCACCACTACCCCCAGGTGTCTAAAACCAAATACTACAATTAATACATTTACCAAATAAAGACTAAACATAAAGCAAAACAATTAACTAGACGAATTACAAAAAGAATATTACCAAAATATGAAAC